TTCAAAAAAAAATTTACTTGCACAAATTAACAATTTTGTGTAACAAATTAAGTTTATTATGAAAATTTAAAAAAATTTATATGCACAAACCTATTTTTTCAAATTTTTTCTTGCACATTAAAATATTTACTTGCACTGTGCATGCATGTGCAAGCCAATTTTAAATACTGATCACATGCATGGATGTTCCAACAAATAATTAAAGCCACAAATATCTATCCTTCTGTAATACTGACTGATGCAGACCCAGCTGTTAACTTTGCAATCTGTCAAGTATTTGTATCAACATATTCTATTCACTGTGCTTACCATATAACACAAAACTTGCACAAAAATCTCAGAAAATTGTTAGGAGAAAATTATCAACATTTTCTTGATGATTTTTTTCATTGTCAGAATAGTTTATCCAAAAAAATCTTTGAACAATACTTTAATCATCTTATTCAAAACTATCCTAATGCTAAAAGTTATTTAGATTTTTTTTACAAATTGAAAAATCATTAGGCACATTGCTTCATTAAATATAAGTTTACAGGAGACATGATCGCCATGTCCCGTGTTGAATCCGTGAACGGATACTTAAAAAACTTGTTGCATAATTCCAATGTCTCATTATGTGAGCCTGCATCAGAAATACACAAATTACTTAATCTTAAAGACATAGAAAATGAATATAGGTACAGTATTATTAGTGATGGGTATTATGCTGCATGGTGCTTAAGTGTTATATTATTAATATTATGAAAGTCATATCGGATGTTAAGGTTTATATAAGTTATAATATGTGATGATTAAGCACCATGCAGTGATAAGGTGCATGATGCACATCTCTAGATATTATTGAAAAAAAAATATTTGAGGTAGGTTTGTAATGTTGAAATAACAATAACTTATATCAAATATAGGTTTTGGCACACAGCAATACCAAATATTTCAAATCAAGACAAAGTAAACTTTTTGTTCACTGAAGTTGATCAGTATCTCCAACGATACCTTAAACCTAATATTTTAAAGATGTTATGGGATCAAATGAATCAATCGGTATATTATACCGTCAATAGAATTTCTCAAGATGTAGAAACAAATGAAAGGTAAATTAATAGCTTCTTTTTTTTTGTTTTTATTATCTTATCAATGCTTTTAATTTTAATTAATGGTAGAAAAATCAGTTATTAGTTATTCAAGAGCAATCTGTTGACAACTACAAGCTACACTCAATCAAATGATTGAGTTTGTTAGATTACATAATATCAAAGAAGTTTGGGCAGCTACTGTTAGAAATTTGTTAAGGATTAAACATCATATTTTGATGCTACAAAATAATTCATATCTATGTTCCTGCCTTTCTATTATCCAATATGGTATCGTGTGTAGGTATTACTTTCAATTGATATTAACAACATGTAATGCAATGTTTCATATTAGAATGTTGCCCTCCTGATGGTATTCAACTGATAATATTGGATCAGAAGAGCCGTTTTTAGTAGCAGATAAGTTTACTCTAGATATGATGACCTTACCAAATAATTCTTCAGTTCCTTATTTGTATCTTTTTAAAGAAAATAGAGCAGATTTTTGTGAAGAGAATTTGATGACCCTTGATCAAAGAATTATTTACGGAAAGCTCCACGGAATATATAAGAAGGCTTTGAATAAAGCATTGCAAAACAAGTCAAGATCTCAGGAACTAATCGATTTACTTCAAGGCTTTGCTGAAGATGGAGATAACGATGATAGTTTAGATTCAGATGAAGGTCAAGAAAGTGACGATAAAGAAAATATAAATCCTTAATTGCAAATCCAAAAAAGCATCAGGGCAAGAGTCATCCATTAGGTACAAAAAGATTCAAGTCATCTCATGAAGTTGTTAAACCTAAAGCAAAGCAGCAGCATCATTGCAAAAGATGTGAAAACGTTGGGCATTATCAAAAGAATTGCAAATATGAATAATCTTAAAGATGTTATATTTTAATGATTCTAATGACCTGTACTATGTATGGTGAAGTTTAATTATATAGCACAATCAAATTTTATAAATTGCTTTGACTATACATGTAATGCATTACTTATTAACATATTTGAGAATCTCGATTTGTTGTCACTAACGACCTTTCATAGTATTGTTTGACATTTTATTGTTTGCAGTTAGTAAAGTAATACAGTACGATTCGATTGTACAGTATGACTCTAATATTGCCAATCTAAAAAAAATTCATTATAGAGTTAGGGTTTTTAGTATTTTTGATCTTATTTATGTTACGCATGATTTTGAAATTTAATTTGACCAAATAGTGAATTTTTTAGATTGGTGACCTGGGGTTAATAGTACAGTAATGTGTATAGTTCAAAATAAGTGAATGTAGTTTCTTTTAGTGCAGAAAATGAGATTCCCCTTTGGCGAACTGCATGAGCTAAAAATCTGTGCAATTTACTATCGTACCGGTACTGTGATTTAATGTTAAGTATTAATTAAGATTTGAATCTGGATTTATTCTAGATTTGTTATATTTTAATATCCGGATTTAGATCATTTACATATTTGTTGTTATTAATACACTACATTCCTAGTAATCGTCTCCAAATAAATCGATTTAATTTTTTAAATCCGGATCCAAGTATTAATTTTATCATATTAGTATTGCCTATCACTATCTCTGTTTTAATTGAGCAAACCACGTGAATTTATATTCGTCACGTGACTTAGGGGGACTAGCGATTTTTCGCTATAGCGTTAAATTACAATGCCCATTATTTTTATCAATTGCTATTTATTTTTAATATATTTAAACTATTGGCAAAAAATTCTAGCAAATCTACCAAAAATAAAAGAAAATATCAACAAAAACTAAAAAAACTCCAAAGCAATTGTTATCTATTCTGAAGGTTCAAGTAAAAGTGGACATGAAAAAAGCTCAAAAATTAATAAACTTGAATACCAAGAACGGTTGTTGGCATTAAAGGAACGTAAACTAGCCTTAAGAGTACATGAAACAAAAGTTCATTCGGTTGAATTAGCAAACCTTGAAAAAGAACAAAGACTGAAGTCTACAAATTAGGATGGAAAAGTGCAATTGTACAACTGCATATGAAAAAAATTTTGTGAATTTATTTTCATTAAATTTATATATAATTATATGCATAATATCGATATAGGATATAAAGCTTTTATGTAGGATTATATTTTATATTTATTGGTGAACATAAATAATGAACTGAAAGAAATTTGCATAGAATTGCTTAAATTGGTGGTTAATCATATGTGAAAACTGTTATCATTATTTACAATAAAGTATATAAGTACGTCCAATCCTGTAAAAAACTTAAATTTTTTACATACGTACAAATCTCATAAAAATCTTTATTATCATTAGAGATACATATGATTGTATAAAAACCTTGATTTTTAGTGAGGTCAATTACATAAATTTTCAACTATACTATTTTATCTGTATTATATATATATATATTATGTGTATAGTATATTAATTTTTTATATACTCAAATACGATTTTTGTAGCATACACCACTACTTTACTCACTCATACACCACAACTATTTGTATACCGCTCTAAATACTCACATTTCGTTTTCAGTTTTCAAAATTTTGATATTCCCACTTATTTCTGAAATACACTATTTTTTTTAATACTAAAGCACCTTAGTTTTAAAGTTCTTTATATAATCGAAGCATATACAGTAGATTTCCACATTTTAAAATTCTCTAGATAAGGTAAAGAACTTGAAGCAGTTTGTACAATTGGATAAGTCGAAACAACTTAGAAACAGTTCCTACATTTGGATAAGTCGAAACAACTTAGTGAAGTTCCTTTTTGTTTTTAAAATTATCTGGATGTTTTTTGTAAAAATATCTTTTTATTTATCGTTATATACCTTTGAGAAAAAATGTATTCGTAACAGCTGTTACATATAACACCATGTAGTTAGCCAATAAAATTTAGAGTTAAGGTTTGGGCTACACAAATTTTTGTCTATTTTTATTGGCTATACTAAGTAGATGTTACAAATAAGGCGTGTAACGTCATGTTACAATTAGATTTGTCCATAAATTTATTAATTATTAACGTTAACGAATTTTGATCTACAAATTATACCCCTCAGAAAAATAACAGTGAATTTCATGTTACACCTGATATAGTGATCTATATACGAATTGCCTTTTCGGATTTGTATCACGGTGGAAAATAAACCCTATTGGCTTCGTTATTTATAAGCACCGTTACAGTATTCCCTAAAATCGCATTTTCATTCTTTATTAACGCTAACGCTTAACTAATTCATGGCATCAAAAATATTCATGGGCAGTATGCCCGAATTAATGGAAATTATACTTAATAATTTAAATAATGAATTTTATTGCTTATACTCATGCGCACTTGTGAGTCGACATTGGTGCAAAATGTCAATTCCAATTCTTTGGCAAGATCCATTTTCATCTGATCGAAACCCGTCATTTATTTCTAAATATTTTTCATCTCTTGATGATGATGATGAAAATTTTATTTTAAAAGACCTTGGGATCAATCTGGAATTTTCCAAAACACTGTTTAATTATGCAAGATTTCTTAAGGTTCTCGATTTATATGACCTAGAAGAGATGTCTAGAAAATGGCTCAAACTCCAGCTTGTTGGTCCGATATCATATAACGACCCACTGATATATAGCATAACTAATTTATTATTTAAATTATTTATTGATAATGGCGCTTCTTTGTTCAACTTACATTTAAATTTTTCTGAACATACTATAATTAAGCCAGAGATCTTCTACTCATTAGGGCAAAATGGGCAATGTTTCTCTCAACTTCAAGAACTATCTCTGTGCTTAATGGACGACTGCGACAACTTAATTAATGATATTATTGCATTATTAAAAATTTTGGCCAAAAACTCTACAAAAATTAGTGCTTTGAAATTTTATGAATTTTATTCTCAACATGATCCACAAATATATCGTGCATTTGTATCCATTATTAACTCACAAGAGCAACTTAAGAAATTGACCTTTGAGAGGGGTCAATATTCTGATAAATTTCTCGGCATCATTTCGGCTTTAGAGAGTCAAAAACAATCATTACGGGAACTTATAATAGAAGGTTGTATTTGTAATGAAGAGTTCGAAATATTAATGAATTGTGAAAATTTAGAAATTCTTCGTATCAGGTATTGCAAATATGCAAAATTGTTGACATTATCAGAATATAAAATCAGCACTTTAGAGATAGTTGATTATCCAATTAACGCTTCAAACATAGTATTAATTTTAGAAAAGGTTGGCACATTACTACAACGACTAAAACTTGAATCAGTAGATGGATTGATTTTAGAACAATCGCTATTGCTAAAAACACTTAAGTCCTTCTGTCCAAATATTACATATCTAGAACTTTCGTATATCGAATTTACCTCACAACTCCTAGAACTTATTAGCGATTTACAAAAACTTCAATTTCTCATTTTATGGTGTGATTGGTGTACTGACAGCATCAAACCAGAAGCAAAAAAACAAGTTCTACAATTTGCAGAAATATTGCCATTAACATTGCATTATCTTGACATAAAGGAATCTTGCTTTTATTCATACATTGATATTTTACTCAGCAATTGCTATGCACCTTTAAAAAAGTTGATAATTGATTGTCTTAAAACGAGAAACAAGCTAAGGCGCTAATCGAATTCTGCATACGAAAAAGAACTTTGAATTACGTGGGTGTGAACAAATA